GGAATGGCCCAGCCAATCACCTGACCTGAATCCAACAGAAAATCTATGGAAAGAACTAAAGATCAGAGTTCATCACGTAGTGAAAAACGTCATCACGCACAGCGACGTGATGACGTCATCATGTTACGTGGGTGGAACCATGTGTTTTGTCGAGTAGAAACCCCCCTCCCCCTTTCCCGTGAGCTTCTGTACTCCACTGCTCTTCCTGTTTTCCGTGAAAAAGCTAAGCGGGAGCAATTTAAGGATGAAAACATAAAGATTATATAAGGAATAAAATAAATAAAACTACAAATGGCTCATTACTGTCCACGACTCGGCTCCTATCGTTCGTTGTAAAGAGCCGTTCAAAAGATTTGGATCGTTCGTGAACAGAACATCATTATTAGCAATGGCAGTGGAGGAAGTGAATGAAGCCAGTCCNGATTATTTGACAGGAGTTTTACTTTTAAACTGTAAGTGTATTTAATTTAGTTATGTTAGTTATGATAGTTTAGTTATAATGTAAATACAATGAAAATTAAACCAAGATTTAGAATAACGATCATTTTGATCCATACATTGGTAATGTCTGACTGGGCCTCGTGTCACTTTATGTTCAATAAATTGGGCCCCAAGGTCAAAAAGGTTAAGAACCCCTGGTTTACAGCACATGCAAAATATGTCGCGGCCAACCGAACCAATCATTTTAAACCTCATCAGAGGCCACCCCTCCAGCAACAATCACTTCTCTATAGCTGAGAGTCCAGATCCTCGTATGAAGCAAAGTCAAGGACCAGGGTCTGGTTTTTACCAGGCTAGATCAGACTAGAGTTTGTTGTAAAAAAAACAAAAGTATTTACAGTAGTATAAACTTCAGTGTCTTTATAAAAAAAAGTCAATGGAGTTCACCACATACTACATCTAATAATTGTAGTACATTGTATTTGAGTAGAAACATAATACGTAAGGTCAAGTGTAAACGCAGTACAGCTGGATAATTAAACCACATGTACAGGTACAGCATGTACTGCTCATACATCCAAACTGTTGTTGCTCTTATTCTGTTGATCTGACCCTTTAATGACCTAAAGACGCCATGAAGAGGGAGGAGAGGTGTGTGAGAGAGAGAGAGAGAGAGAGAGAGAGAGAGAGAGAGAGCTGTTTGTGCTAATGCTCATTTAAGCTTAAGAGTGGGTCACTTTGTGCAGTCCTACTGTGTAATTATGTGCTAAACATTTGAAAGTACACACACACTGTGTGCATGCGTGCACGTGTGTGTGAGCATGTGTGCGTGTGTGTGTGAGATCCAGTCTTGGAGCGCTCAGCGACTTGAGGCATGATTTTGCTCTTTTAAAGGCCTTTCTGTGTCCTTGAAAATAAAATAAAATACGCATTGAAGATATGTGTCAAGCTGACAACTTTCTAAACTGCAACAATTTTAAAACAAGTATTCAGAAAGCAGCCAATCAGCTGTAACCTGGAGGAAGATTAATGCCAGTGAGATTTGTAGTTTACACTAACGGTAGTTTAGCCATCTTTAATAAAACCTGCATCTCATCAATCAGGTTGGTTTAATTTCTGCCCAGACTCATCTGCCTCACACTCATTCCGCCTGTCGTTCTCTGTCTCTTTCTCTGCTCTCTCAGTCATAGTGCTTCGTTTGATGGTGGCGTTTTGTGGGGAGGAGCCTGCCACAACAGGGATCTGGGCACACAGAACAGCTTTAATTAGATGGGGCCTCATGCCATGTGCCATCACGGCATGTGTGAAAGTGAATGTGTGCCTGCGCGTGAGCTGCTGCTTTGTCTAAATGTGAACATGTGACAGAGATTTTTGTGCGTTTAAGCTGATTTTTACATTGCCTTCTGCACAAATACTGACATAAATAACACCTTTGAGTTTCCCGTCTTATGTTGGTGCAGAAACATCTTAAATCCTAATAGTCTATCTTTGCCTTGGTACCAATCTTGAACACGAGCCAACTGCTTTGGCGCCGATAATGTAAATGAAGACAAACCCATTTCTTTTGTACTCAAACAGCCAGGATCTTCTTTCAATTTAAAAATGCATTTGGGTCTTCATGGGGGGGCGGCGTTTGAAGCCATCATCCTCCCATGAAGCCAGTCAGCAGATGCTGAAAGGATGGGCGCCAGGATGGAGAAGGGAAGCTCAGTGCCATAACCGGTTTTGGTTGGTTCAACAACTTGTGCGTTTTGTTTTTTAATAGGTGCACCTTGCTGGTTGTGTGGAGTATTTGATATACAGGCATGACTCGTGAGCCAATGAGAGCTTTTGGAAGACAAAGGGAGGCTTCCAATTGGTTGAAAAGGTTTTTAGGCGGGGTTAAAGGGAACTGATGACATCATAAAATGAGGGTCAGGGTATTTAGGAACGTCTGAGGGAAAAAGGCCCCAAGCCAAAAGAGTAACATCTTTAGGTTCAGCTACTTAGATCTTTTCTAAGATGAATGAATGAATGAACTACATTCTAGGTCAGATTTTGAATCAAAAAATAAAAAGAAAATGTTTCAACCTTGTGTGATTTCTAACAACATTCTCATTTGCCTTCAGGTCAGATTTTGGCCCATGTTGCTTTGCCTTGGGTTTGAAAGGATGGGTAGCCTTAGGGGTTGATTGTTATCTTTGGTTATCTAGCTGTATGAGTGGTGTACATTCTTCATAAAGCTAGATAACCGAAAGTAACAAGAATCCCATTACACTCCTGGAAAGGCATCAAGACCCCAAACGCTCCTGACTTCAAAACAAAACACAAAATCCATGTGAAGAACCAGTAAAGGAAAGAAGATGGACAACATTTCAAAGGAGATGGGATCATAAATCAGAACAAGGTAAGACCCAAGTTGTCTCCGTTTGTTCTAGATCTCTGGGAAGTTATTTTTTTTCACTAACTACACATTGACGTACTTTTTTGTGTAGTGATTAATCATCAACTACAAATATTCTACAGTTTTATGGCACCTAAGTCAAACATTGTATTACTTGCAACTCTCTACAGCCAGTGGCAGTAATCCATAATAGTAAGGTTGGTACAACAGGATCACTTTTAATCTAATTAGCCCCATGATCCCTGTATGTGGAGCTGCATGCAGGGGCTTAGATTTAGTATCACATGGCTGTGAGGAAAAAAAAAAGAACACTGATTTACCAAAGCAAGCAGATTTTGACAACGTTGCATCGGCACATCCAGTCTTTTAGTTAGTTTGGCAAATGTTTGTCTTTTGGCCAAGTATTAGCTTGCATCTTTGGCGTTAGGAGAACCTGTGTAAAGAATGTGGACCTTTATTAACATAGGAGCTGTATGCTGTGCAATGAATTATACATGTATGCCTTAACTGATTCAATTGTGTGATTTACAAACACTCCCTCCGGATTAATCTGGGGTCTCGTTTTGCTTGGAACCTAAGACAAGAATTTGTTTGAGGCTAGTTTTGTTAAGTTAGCCATTCTAGATTTCCCCCCGTCCTTCCTAACTACTCCCTTTCACGCTTACGCCTGAAAAGATGTTTGATTTGGGGGTCCTAGCTGTTTGATTTGACTTGTCAGTTGGCTTGGTTCTGAATGGGTCGCGCTAAACCTTCTATTCCATGAGGTGCTACCATGTGGAAAGACTTGATGAGATTTCGCTGAATGCTGGTTTGTGTGGATGCAAGGCTCAGAAAGGGGAGTGGTCCAGGGCCAATCAAGCAGAAACTACCCCCGGTGACGAAGTCCACGAGTGAAAGAAGCGAACAATCCGAGCCTTTCGGATCTGTGCCAGGGCTCCTGGTGAGGAGTAATTGGTCAATCAGATCTTCAACCTCAAGGCCTCTGATGGCTGATTGAAGGTGTGATTTTTGTTCTGCCCATCAAAGCTGAAGGGTCGCTCCAGCTGAGAGAGGCTGCCGAGAATTGTTTACGAGGTCTCAAGGCTATGTCACGACAAGCCTAGCAGTAAACCCCAACTGTAGGACATATTCCACTTACTGGTTTGCAGTTTCAACATTGTTCAGCTAAACGATCTCCTTGGTTTTGGATATATTTAGCTTGACCTGGTACAAATTTCAAACTGTTGTGGAGGGGCAAAGAGAAATTTCTGTGTAAACCTTAGCTTGAAATGTCAATTTCTTCAAGTCCCACAGTTAAATTGTGCCTTCCTGCTGCATTGCAGGTGCTGAGTGTGACATTTGAGCTCTGGGCTCATCTAGTGAGGAACGAGGACCTTGACAGGAACTGACAACCAGAGATGTCACTTTCTAGTATGTCAGGTAGCCGATTTTCCCCCCTTTTATAAATATTATTAAAGGCTTGTGGGCATGGCATGACTTAATGATTACACAAAGGCAAAAACTACATTTTTGTTTATCTTAAAATATGTAATATTAAATGTGCTTTTGAAAAGGTACAGACACGTTCTTTAGTACTGTGGAGTTGTTTCTTTTGCTTCCTCTTGGTGTCAGTTGTACTGTTAGAGCTGAGTGTGTGCATTGAAGTCTTGGGCAGATTGTGTTTAGACCTTAAGCAGTGCCTTGGGAGACTCATGTCATGGTGCAAAGCTTTGTTCTGGCTGTGTGTGTGGCACAGTTATATCACTAACACTGCTCACTGGGGACCCCAAAGAAGAGTCTGTCTTCATTTCTTCCTCCCTTAAAATGGCATGGAGATGGGAAAGTTCCTTAAAACCACCTTAGGGCCTCTGCTTTTTTTTTTCTGTGTCCCTTGGCATTGTCTGAAATAGAAAGAAGGAGCATGGAGAAACGGCGAAGAAGGAAAGAAGGCAGGGGAGAGGAAAGGGAAGGAGGAGGGTGGTGGGTTTATCTTTGCTTTCATGCACTAGGCAAGCAGATTTAGACTCTAAGTGTCAAATAGAAAAACAGCCATTGTGGTCGGGTCCCACTCGCCCCCACACCACTAGACTTTACAGTCAATAGAGCTAGTCCACTTGTCACCAAGAGACAATGCACCCCTTTTCCTCCCTTTCAGCCCTGCCGGGTCCAAGTAGCCAGACAGTTTTCTGAATGCGACTCGGTGATTCTTGCCCCCTTTTCTCCGCCTCTCTTTCTCTTGACGGAACACCCCAACAGGGCTTGGAAAATGGCTTCACTGTTGGGCCAGAGGGCAAAGCCAGACCTTGTTATTTTCTACAACACTGACAGTCCCTCCACCCTTCTATGCTCACAGAGAAATGAATGTATTGTGGGGCAGTTGCAAAGTCAATGGGCCTCATCAGACAAAAGAGATTAGGTTTGGCAACTTTGCAGAGACAGGTGTACTTTGACTCTGCCTTGGACCACACGGACGGTGGCTGCTGCCTGACCCATTGCTCTGTTGGCTATGACGGGTTTCAGTTATGCAGTAATGAAGGTAAAAATCTGCATTGTCTTTTTACGATAAAGGAAAACGTCTGAGCTTCTTCGCAATGAAGCTGTTCGTTTTTCTCCACGGGAATTCTGCAGGAATCTTTAGATCTCTAAAAGCACCCACCCAAGGGAGAAAGTTAAAGGTAAACAATGAAGAAAAAGAGAAAATGTGAGATGTAGTGCAGGGTTGCACAATACATTTTCACATTCAGAACTGAGACAGCGGTGTTTTAGGAGGACTATCTTCCAGAAAGAACGAGTGAAGCCTTTTCTGTTCACAACTTTAGTACATTCAATCACAATAAATCAAGCCATTCAGTAACATTACAAATAGAGACACTCTCACACCCAGAGCAAAACAGTGCATGCATTTGTTTGTTTCAGTCATTAATAAAGCTTTTACTGAAAGCCTCTGTCCTCAGAAAAAGCCCATTCTGCTGAAATGACTTGGCAAAGCATCCGATGGAGGGTCTTTTCAGACTGAAGCTGCTCTGGTCACCATTGTCTGCTTCTCTCTCACACCTACGTGTCCAGAGTGAGCACACAATTTCATTGTTGCGTGAGCTGTTAATATCAACGGCTTCACAATAGAGCCCGTTCGATACATTTGCATAAGGCACTTTTCCAACAAGGACCCAGAGAGGGCTTGAAAGCTGGCCCACTCCAGTGCCAATGGCAAAAAAAATGTCAAGTGCCAATTAGGAGAGGTTTGCCACCATTCAGCAGTACCCCACCCCTGTGTAGTCCTTCCCCTCCCAGCTTAGCCACCTCAACTCTCTCACACTCCGCGTCACCCCTGGTCTTACCACCTTATTCCGCTCTCAGATGTGGCCTTCCCCTACTGACACCCGGAGACAAAAGCTGCCTCCTTATTCTGTTAACTAATGGAGGATCCTTTCTGTCGGGCTTAGAGTATTAGCAAAACCAGAGCTCCTTTCACCGATTAGTCAGCTTACTTTGTTGATTAGTTTGAATAGAAGGGTTTAGGAACCATACAGCCAAAACCTGTAAGAAATAAACTCCACCTGCTTGAGAATATTGAATTTAGAAAGCTGTCTAATTTGTGCTTTCAGCATTTTAGATTCACAAGTTTGCCTGTGCAGGTGGAGGTGATTAAGAACTAAAGAAGATGCTGATTTAAAACAATTAAAACCCTTTAGTCTGTTCTATAACCGTTTGCTTCCTTAGAATTTGCTTTCTTCAATTGCTTTGCATTGTGTACATATGCATAAAGAGTATTATGAAAAAAGACGCCCCCAAACTAAGAGAGTACAATTTTTGAGCTTTAAAGGAAATAAAAAAAAATGCTTCATTTTTTTCCCACTGCAAATACATCAAATAGAAGTTAGCTTAGCTGGTGAGTGTGGAGCTGTTTATGCTCCCATAGATGTTTAATATTCAGTATTCGTTTAACATATGCCTAATTGTAGCTGTCAGACTCAAAATGTGTGTTGACAGAAATTCAGGGCATTATTTGTGTTCTTAAATGTAAGTGATGTATTGTTTATGCTGGAGAAGCCTTTGGCGATACGTACCTAAATATACTCATGTCCTTGAAAATGACAAGCCCGCAGAAAAGAACGAATTAAAAAATTTAAGTCATAACAAAACAACAGCTTAACTGCGACTTGTTTTCCACGGAGCATTTACCTACTGCCTCCTGCCACTCGAAAGGATTTTTCTCTTGTCCCTTTTTCTCTTTCATTCTTTCATTCAATCTCTGTGACGAGTTTTTTTCCCCCTTTCCCACCCTTGATTCTCAGATGGTTGGATCTGATTTGCATGCATTTGCATAATGAAAGTCATTTGCATGCTCAGGGGCAGACTGTACCATGAGAACAGACATGAAAAGGTGTGTGCGCACATGTGCGCGTGTGTGTACACGGATTCGTGTGTGTACGCATGCTTCTGTCAACTGTACATGTTTATTTTAAGGGTTCAACTGTATTATTTAAATTTTCTTCTAACACTCTACTTTCTGTGTTCATGTTCCGTGTGTAGGGGACGTCACCAGTGTGGAAGAAACTGGCAAAAGAAGACTGAAAACAGGAAAGGAGGAGGAGGGGTTGCTGTTGATTCTGCCCTCCCTCTCTTATCGCCCTTTTCTGCATCGCCTCTTACCTCCTCCTCCTCTTCTCTTTCTCCTCCACTCCATCCTCAGCAGACTGCCCCCCCTTTTTTTTTCCTGTACAGCGAAATGCAGCCCGCGCCACCATCTTAGAGCTACACTGGCATAAAATGGAAGCAGGAAGACCAGTTTGTGCAGGTAACACGCCAAACCCACGGTGCCCATCACCATAACTCTCCATCTCACCCTCCTCCATCTCCCAGCGCCCCTCCTTTCTCTCCTCTCTCCACCGGGCAATGGTCTTCTTTTTAATTCTCTCAGATATGTTCATTAACAATTCTCAAGATGCGCTGATTTTATGGCGGGGAGGGTGAGTTGATGTGGGTGGAGCGTGTTTTGTATGTGTGGTAAATCACTCCACTCTCAATGCCGCTCTCAGGAGGCTTTCAGTGGGCATCTGTCCTTGAAGAGGCAGGTTTGCTTTCCTATTTGGGAATTGTCATGCCATCCTTATATTCGTACACTGACATGGTGGCGGCGGCTGCCATTTTGGAGATACAAGGCTGTGCCCTATAGACAGTGTAAAAGACAGAGTGCATACAGGCAGGCAGAGTTAAAAGAAGTGAAATGTGTTCTGTATTAATGGGGGAAACAAATTAATCCTAATAGTTTTGAATTAAATTGTAATGGCTGCAACCTTTAGCATCTTTTTAGTTTTCATTTTTAATATTCGCTTTAAATGGGGACAAATTAGTGGCAATACTCAGTCAAAACAGAAGAAACCAACGAGTCACTTTTCACATTCAAATACAAGGACAATGCAGCACAAAACCTGCACAAAGCAAGGAAGTGACAAACCTGAGAGCCTGATAGACAGAGAGGACTGGAAAACCTCTCTTATAGTAAGTGATGAGTCCAGCATTGGAGTGCAGTTGATACCCAGACAAGTTGAGTATTGTTCTCCCTGAGTGAACTCGTTACAGTGCAGCATTACTTTAACAAGGCAGCTCCGAACTTTACTAAACCGCTTAAACCAAAACACCATTTAGCGTCAGCTGGGCTTGATTTAGTAAGAAAAAGCTATTAAACAATGTCGAGTATTGTTCTTGTTACAGAGGGCCCTCTCTCTGCTTGTGTTTGTGAAGGTCAGCGAGAGAACGTTTATGCTAAAATAACAATAAGGTTCAGAAAGAGAAGCGCAATCCAACAGTGGGTATAAATAAAACAAGTAGAGAAACTTGTCAAAGACGAAAACATAAAAAACTTTTCATCAACGTTTTTCTTCCTCTTTTATGAACATATAAAACTTCGTAAAGTTTTATTTTCCACATTTTTCTCATTTTTTTACAGTAACTAATCACGGTTGTTGCTTTTTTTGCATTTGAATTATTGATAATGCATTTTTTTTAAAGCGAAGGCGTCGCTTGGCTTTGCTGATAAGTTCTGGGGTAACTGTATCAAACCAAGTGTGCACTAATCACTGCAGGGCCTCCAGAAACAGGTGGTAGATTGAGCTAAAAAAAGGGGCAGGGGCAGTTCTCAATTTACTGTGTAAATTATGCAGAGCTCAAAACAATGCAAACAGTAGACAGTGGAGTGGCTGGCGTTGGCTAATGAGATGATGAGAAGCCTGGGAGGGCTGCGAGCTGATTGAGGAGAGGGGGTGGGCATAGCCAGCAGCTTGTGTCTGGATATGTGGGGATGTGTGTGTGTGTGTGTGTGTGTAAGGGTCTGGGGGAGCTTTGGCAGGGGTGCAGACACCGTTCTGTCTGCACAGACCCCACCATCGGCACCCCTCCTGCCCAGACTGAGCGCTCCTAAGGAGGGGAGGGTTTGCAGGCAGCTGGGGCACCCTGCCCCCATTGCTCAAGCAAAGAGCGCCAGCATTGGGAAACTCTGTGTCAGGGGTCCTCTCAACGCTGGCACGTAAGCCCCCCCCCCCAGAAAGTCTGGCTG